AAATGCGCAGAAGCTGCTGGCGCTGAGTGACTTGGATTGTCATTTTCTTTTTTTGTGCAAAAAAGAAAAAATTAATTTAAAAGAATTAAATTATAAAGAGACGCTGCTGCTGCTGCAGCCCAGTTTGCTGCTGGCAGCAGCGATGGGAGGAGCAGCAGGAACCTGCTCCTACAAAAGTGCTGCTGCAAGACGCCAAGAAGCAAACCCTGGGGCAGCAGCAGCAGCAGCAGCAGCAGCAGCAGCAGATTCCTCGCCAGCAGCGGCAGCAGCAGGAGAGAGCGAAGAGGCCCCAAACCAGCAGCAGCAGCAGCAGCAGCAGCAGGCAGCGGAGGCTACCAGCAGCAGCAACAGCAGCAGCAAAGAACAAATCCAAAGAGGGGACCCAGACCCTACATCAGGGGCCCCCATATCTGCAGCGGGGCCCCCCCAGCAAATATTAGGGGCCCCTGGGGGGGCCCCCCAGGGCCACCAGGACCCATTGGGGGCCCCCGAGAATACTTTGGGGGCCCCCCAGGACCCACTTGGGGCCCCCAAGTCTATACCAGGGGCCCCTCAAGACCCACTAGGGGCCCCCTTGGGGGCCCCCAAATACCTACCGGAGGGCCCCCAGGATCCGTTGGGGGCCCCCTCGGGGGGCCCCCAAAATCCATTGAGGCCCCCCCAAGACCCATGGGGGCCCCCCCAAGACCCGCGGGGGGCCCCCCAAGACCCATTGGGGGCCCTCCAAAACCCATGGGGGGCCCTCCAAAACCGATTGAGGGCCCCCCAAGACCCATGGGGGGCCCCTCAAGACCCACGGGGGGCCCCCCAAGACCCATTGAGGGCCCCCCAAGACCCCCTGGGGGCCCCCCAAAACCCATGGGGGGCCCCCCAGGAGCCACTGGGGGCCCCCCAAAACCCATGGGGGGCCCCCCAGGAGCCACTGGGGGCCCCCAGGACTGGATTTGTGGGTACTGATTGGTTTGAAGATTTGAGTTTGGGGGCCTCTTGTGAATTGGCCTACAGGTCCCTTTTGGGGGTTTACACTTTGCAGGCCTCGAGGCTCAAATACGAAAGGCAAACCCTAAACCCTAAACCCTAAACCCTAAACCCTCAATCGAGGTTTGGGCTGCTTGGACAAGCGCGCGCTGTGCGGGCGCGTATAAGGACTGAATCAAAACCCTAAACCCTAAACCCTAAACCCTAAACTCCAGTCTCCTCTTTTTCCAGTTTCGTCCTTTACCCCTTTGCCGCTGTCGCCAGCTCTTCAGGCGCACTTTTAATTTATTATTTATTTATTATTAATTAATTAATTATTTATTTATTATTTATTTATTTATTTATTTATTTTCAGGTGGCAAGTCCCTTCTTTTATAAACGCTCTCTTTCTTTCTTTTGGCCTCGAAGACCCCCCCGCTGTGACGAAACAATTTGCTGCCAGACTTCAAATACTAAATGCCCCAGGTTAGGGTTTAGGGTTTAGGGTTTAGGGTTTAGGGTTTAGGGCTTAGGGTCTGGGGTTTGGGGTTCAAGGCTTAGGGTTTATAGGGGGCGTTTTTTGTTCTAGGTCTACGGTTTTAGGGTTTAGGGTTTAGGGTTTAGGGTTTAGTGCTCACTGGGGGCGGTTTTTTGTTTAGGGTTTAGTTAGGGTTTAGGGTTTAGGGTTTGCAGGGGTACGTTGCTCTGTTTGTAGCACTGTGCGCTCGGCGCTTGGGGGGAAATGCTTTTGTGACTAAACCCTAAACCCTAAACCCTAAACCCTAGCGACAAGGGGCTTGACCGCATTATCACAGTTTTGTTTTTCACGTTTTTAAGGTCTTCGAAAGCAAATTTTGTTTTTGTTAATCAAGTTTTTAATCTCTTTTCTATTATTTGTTTTTAATTCATTTCTTCTAATTTTTATGTCTTCTTTGTTGTTGTTTCTCTTTTAATTTTCGCCCTCACCTGTTTTCGCCCGTGTCCTTCTCTTTATTTATTATTATTATTATTTATTATTATTATTATTATCATTATTATTATTAATTTTCATTAATTTGTTTTTGTGTTTTCGTTTCTGCACAGTTAACTTTTTATTTATTTTATTATTTTGTTTTTTATTCAGGCCTGGTGGTCGATTATCACGCGAAGCAGAAAACGCAGCTTTTGGCCTGTCTGCCATCATGCGCTGGTTTTCGTTCTCGTTTTCAGCAGCTTCAAAAGACAAATAAATCCTTTTCCGACATTTTTGCGGATTTTAAATCTTCAAAAACAAAAACAAATGCGAAAATGGAACAATTTGAGCGCAAAAATGCAGAAAAAGCTGCGGAAAATGGCCGCGAGGGAGTGGCGGCGTTGGGTGTACGTACACCTCAGCACCCAGCTGTCGATACACCCCAAAAAGCCGAGAAATGCTGCTTTCTCGACCAGAATGGAGAAACTCCAGAAGTTAAAAAAGAACATAAATGCCAAATTAAAAACGAGGGGACCTATGGGCCGCGCGAAAGAACTCGAGCTGTCTGTACACCTGAACGCACTCGCGGAGCTGCCTATACACCCGAATTCGCCGAGCCGGAACTTTACCCCCCCCGAATTCTGTGGGATTTTGAGCCGCAAAAGAATAAATAAAACCGGAATTTAATTTATTCATTTATTTATTTATTTATTTTATTAAATTTGATTCAAAAAAATCGAAAATACATCCAAAAGGGGTACAGTTGGCCGCCCTCTTCCATTTTTTTCCGTTTTGCAAATTGGCACAGCCGGGCGTGCTCAGCGCATGCGTTTTCTTTTTCTTGAAACTTAACTTTCAACTGTTTTTGTTTTTATTATTTATTTATTTATTTATTTATTTATTTAATCATTTCTTTTTTGTTTTAAATTAGTTTTATTATTTTTTGCCTCTTATATTTGTTTTTGTCCGTGGCGAGATAGTTCACTGTCTGTACTGTCTTGAAATCTGAAAATTAAATTCTTTTACTTTTTTGTTTGCTGCGGGCCTTTCAGTGAATTAATTTAATTAATTAATTAATTAATTAACTAATTAATTAAGTGAATTAATTGATTAATTAATTAATTAATTAGTCAATTAATCGAAGTAATTGAATTGAGTAATTAATTTATTAATTAATTCTTTTTAATTTATCAAATCCTCAAATCCTTTAATTATTCATTTCTTTAATTCTGATTTCTTGTCAGGACTTTCAAACAAAACACTTTAGGGGCCCCGCAGTTGCTCAAAAGGACTTAGAAGTTTTATTTTTCTTTTTTCTTTTTGCTGCAGCAGCAGTACTTGCATGCGCCTTTTCTTTGCATGCAAAAAGCCCCAAAACTCCATCAGAAGATTCAAAAGAATTCCGAAAAGATAAATTGATTTTGGCGACTGGCATGGGCCGGCCCCGGGTCCCCCTGCTGCGGTGTACGTACACCCCAGCTTTCCCCCCCTGCATGCAGCCCGGCTCGCTCCCTCTTTCAGCAGCCCCTGCTGCTGCTGCTGCTGCTGCTGCTGTTGCTGCTGCGGTCTGGTGGAGCTTCACTGAGCGCGTGGAAGGCACACCGAAGTTCCTGCTGCTCCTGCTGCTACTGCTGCTGCTGCTGCTGCTGCTGCTGGCGCACCTGACAGCGCAGCGCCTGCTGCTACTGCTGCTGCTGCTGCATCCCATACTGTAGTTGCTGCTGCTGCTGCTCCTGTGGGAAGTGTGCGTAAAGTCAAAAGAAGACAGAGCTGAGCTTTGCTTCAGGCTGCTGCTGCTGCTGCTGCTGCTGCTGCTCAGCAGCAAATCAATTAAACTGCTTTTTTCTTTTTCTCCCTGAGGTGCTGCTGTGGAGGCCTGAGACGCTGCTGCCTCCATTTTGCAGTGCGCGCCCACCTCAGCAGCAGCAGCAGCAGCAGCAGCAGCAGACGCAGGGGGAGTCTGCTGCTGCAGCTCCTGCACTTTGGTTGGGACGCAAAATAATTGTTCTTCAGCTGCGCCCTCAGTAAAGGAGATGCTATTTTGAGTTGCTGCGCTGCTGCTGCTGCTGCTGCTGCTGCTGCTGCTTTGACTTGGTGTATCTTTGTTCGTCTCTGCTGTAGCTGCTGCTGCTGCTGCTGCCGCGGCTGCTTCGTCTGCTGCTGCAGCTACTTCGTCTGCTTCGCCGTTTGCGCACTTTGGTATCTTTGGGTTTTCTTTTGCTGCTGCTGCTGCTGCTGCTGCTGCTACTGCTGCTGCTGCTGCAGTTCGGGGGTTGCTGCTGTTGTTGCAGCCATCGGCAGCAGCAGCGCAGCTGCTTTTTTCAATTCCTTTGTAACGGCTTGAAGTGCAGCTGCTGCCCCTGCTGCTCTTCGCGGCTGCCTTGCTGCTGCTGCTGCTGCTACTGCTGCTGCTGCTGCTACTGCTGCTGCTGCTGCTGCTGCTGCTGCTGCTGCTGCTGCTGCTGCGGCTGCTGCTGCTGCGCTGCAGCGCGATGAGGAGAGGCCGGGTCTTCAGCATGCCAGTTTGGCTTTGCCAGATTTCATTAGCAGCAGCAAAAA